TTTACAACGTCCGTGAAGCGAGAAAAATCAACTATCAAAATAAATTTTTCTCAGCCCAAATACGACCCCCTCTCCTGGCGGCCAAATACGACCCCCCCTGTTGGGGATTCCCCAACAACGATGTGCCCTAATCGCGGCATGGATTGACTCGCAGTTCCGTAAGTATCGGATCCTTCTTTCTGTCACAGCCCTTCTGCTGTTGCCCCTTCTCCACCTATGCACACTTCTATTTGTGAAAACGAGTATATCCACTGGCTGTCTTATATAGCGTTTAGAGGGTGTTATCATGATCGAAGTTCATCTTGTTTCGACATCACAATATGGGCTAATTCGCAGTTCTGGTCCGTAACCGGTCCGTCCTCTCTTCTGACGTATGCCACACTCTACGCCATGAAGTTGAAGTCCGCCCTCAATGAGCGGAGAGTGCACCGAAGTGGGCAGTGCCGAAGGTTTAAACCATTCTCTATATATAAACAACAAGTAGTCTCCAATAAGCCCATGAAGCACAATAATTACATTATTTGTCAGAGATGAGGAGGGCGTGGTTACGTACTCCATTTGAACACGATGTTGGACCCTTTTTTCATGGAACATTCTCCTTTGAGAAACCTATTAACATTTCTTGTGCTGGACAAAAAAAATACTTACTACTTGCTTACTTGTCCCGAAATTTCAATATCCCCAACCAAGCACGCCTTCATGCTCTCCATGTCTGTGGGATATAAATGCACAGCGTGTGAACGTGGTGATATGTCAGTGAAGAACCTACTCATAGACTTTTGGTCGAAATGTAGTGCGTGTGGTGACTAGGGTCGATCGTGCACGATCGTGTGATCATTAGCCGCACAATCACAATTTCAACATTTATTAATCAGAATATGTAGTAACAATGTGAAATTCCAAAAATTTATTCCAAAAAACTCAAAAGACAGCAAAAGTCTCGAAAGGTTTTTTCTTAAAAATATCTTACCTTGCGATATTTCGTTGCGTAGCACCTTGGTCAGGTCTGAAATTGCTTTCAGCTGGAAATGTACCTACAGAAATACAACCCGCCACGCGACTTCGCCCCACAAAACATTATTTTTGTTCGAATATCCCGGCAAAACAGTCAACCCACCCTTAAACCAGACCCTTAACATATGTAGTGTGTGCTTGTGTTGACGCGCAATCACATTATGACTTGCATAATGTCACGTAGTTCCTCCCTATTGTTTATTTGGGGTAGTAGCCGTTTTATTTCCAAGGCCTCCAATATTTTCCTTTCCATTGCGCTCTCTACCGAGCGGTGTAGTACTTTGACGATTAAAGAGGGGGGTTCTTGGTGCGAAACAGCAACCGAGCGCTGCTCCCTTTATGCGTCTGCCTGGAGAACTGCCTATCAGGCGTTAGAGGCGTGGATTTACCCATCGCCCTCGGTGTTCGTCGATTTGCGTTTGTATAGGGGCCCTCCCAGCTTCTCCCACATATTTTTGTCCGCATCCCTGACATTCCATCAGATAAACTCCCCCCGAGTTGACAGATTTGAGGGTCATTGCAGTAACTACAAACCCCTTCCACATCTACCTTCACAAAGCCTTGAAAGAGAAGGCATCTTAAATTTAGTAAGAAGGCATTTTAAATTTAGTCGGACGGAATATTAGGCGTATCGGAAGTGGTGAGCACTTTACAATATTATTTACTTTTAATGCCGTGCTTTCATTTAGATAAGGTAATACCAAGGGGATTCCGTCCGCCGTGGAATGTGGTTTCCATGTATGGGTGCGAGTGCTTGTATACCCATTCTCTCTTAGAATTCTATCCACCATCGAATCTGCTTCTGATGACTGCTGGGTGCATATTTTGTCCTTAGTGATCACCCGATTCTGGCTTTCATATACACGGGGTGGCTACTTCTAGCATGCAGCAACACATTCCTTCAAGGTGGTTTTTATACCAGGATACTCCGTGGTTCCATTCCTGATCTGATTTTTTGTGTCAAAGAATGGGACAAATCCTTCATTATTGGGGTCTCCACAGTGAACAGTTTCTCCAGGCATCGCATAAGGAGCACGCTCACCAAGAACCCCCTCTTTAATCGTCAAAGTACTACACCGCTCGGTAGAGAGCGCAATGGAAAGGAAAATATTGGAGGCCTTGGAAATAAAACGGCTACTACCCCAAATAAACAATAGGGAGGAACTACGTGACATTATGCAAGTCATAATGTGATCGCGTCACATCCCACTATTTAAGGGTGTGGTTAGGGTGGGTTGGCTAATTTGCCGGGATATTTGGGTAAGTGGTTTGTGGGGGAGGAAGTCCGTGCGGGTTGTATTTCTGTAGGTACATATCCAGCTGAAAGTAAGCTGAATTCATTAGCAATTTCAGGCCCGACGAAGGATGCTACGCACGAAATATCGCAAGATAGGGTATTTTACAACATTGATAACATGCATATTTGAGACTTTTGCTATGTTCTGAGTTTTTTGGAATAAACTTTTGGAGTTTCACATTGTTATTACACATTCAGATAAGAAATGAGACTCCGGGACAGCACCATACTCCGATTTATTAATCAAATTAAGAAATGATGACATGTAACCACAGTCCCGAAATAAACTCAACGGATAGGCGTAAGATTTACACTCTTGAGTCTCATCACAAATGATCAGCCTAGTTGCGCACTTTTGAAACCATTAGAATTATGACGAATTTGATAAAAATCGACTAGAAATTACTACTTAGACGTAGTGAACCATAGACCCGTGAAAATGAGGCAAAATGTGTGTAAAAAACATGGAATGCAATGATCTCTAATGATAATCTGTTCAGTGCCTAGCACAATGATCTAAGAAGGCAGTCATTTTGTAATACAAGTGGCTTCGCCGTGAAATTGCGTGATCCTGATTAGGATAGACCTGAAATCGATTCCAGCTAGGGGATTTGACACGACAATAATTGTAATATGTCAGTGCTTCGGTCATTTTTGCTACTGAAGCTATCTTCTTGAGTGCATCTACTCACCACAAAGACAACTCAAGCACTGGGCACGATGGTCGAGGGCGGGCGGCTTGTTACCAGCGTCATTGGTGCAAGGGCTGTGAGAGGGCGTTTGGCCACGCCACTATTCAGCCCTCTACCAATGACGTCAACAACCGCACGCCCCCGCCATCATGTCCACTGCCTTCAGGATAAACACTGTACTCACCATAACATCAAAATCAATATCATGAGTTTGTAAAGCTTCCATGAATAAAGCACTGTGTTGAAAGTGAACGTTATCTGGAAGATGAATTTTAGTTGACTATTTCTAATTAAATTTCAAGAAATAATACATAGTATGCCCATATGTTCATGCATTGATATCTGTGGAGAGTACTGACCGTCGTATAATCCGTGCGCAAGCAGGAGACGAGTTTTCCGAAAGTTTGACACGTTGTGGGTAACGTCGCCTGCGTCATAGGCTGCCATACCACTTCCTCCCATGTATCGCTCCGTGTAAGTAGCATCTGAAAAAGAGTTCCTCCCTCTCATTGGTCTGGGCTCTTTGTTGAAGTTTCCCAAAATGCCAAGGTGTAAACTCATTCTTGAAGGCATACGACACCATACTTTGGTACCCAGTCCAAAATGCTAGCAGAGTGCTATATAAAGGGAAAGTGGCGAAAAAACGAAGAAGAACGGTCAAGAACCCTCCAAGGCCACTCAGCTACGGTAGATACGGCTGCACTTATGTACTCATATATCCATGCAGCACCGCGGCCGCTTCATGTCAATCCCTTCGCTTCATATTTTACTTCGCAAATGAAGCAATACGAGCATCAGGTACGGTCGTCCATTTGTGGGCGGGCGGGCGCGGTGGGCGTTCGGGTCGCTATGATGTAGCTTGGTGGGGTCTTATGAGGGTGCCGACTTTGAAAAAAAGCGCCACGCAGCGATTGCTCAGGGGGGCGCAATTCCGTCCTGCCACGCTTATTAATCCTACTCGCCCAGGGACTCATCCTGCCAACTGCCTTCAACAATACTTTATTAACTCGCTTCATAGTTGGAGTTGGAGCTGCTTCGAGAAAAATCTGGATGAGTGGTATACATATGTACGGAGGGGAGAAAGGCGTAGGAATGAAGGGGAAAAAGAAGACTCTGCTGCTGAACTGGAGAGGTGCTAAAGGTTTTGCTGCTGAACTTTAGAGGTGCTTAATGTTTTCATATTGGGCATTTATCTCAGTTCTGGAAAGAGCACATCCTGCCTTGGTGAAAATTTTTGCAACATACATACGACCCCTCGCCCCTAATTGAAATTTTCCTTCCAGGAGCGACCCCCTTCTCATCCTGAACCAACCATCTTTCTTGAATTTTCCGATTTTGTCAAAGTTTTTTTTCCAAAATTCCCCGTTCGTTGTTCCCGAAAAAAAAACTGTCGAGCGGAAAGTGTAGCGGTGGGGAGAGGGAAGGTGGAGGGATTTATAGCACGCCTTGAAACAGGAGGACCCGAGAAAAGTCAGCAATTGAGAACATTTTTTGAGATGCAAATACGTCCCCCATCCCTTCAGTAACCAAATACAACCCATTCCACCTAATGCGGATCAAGGTGAGAGTGCCATGATCCTGGACTCTTTGGAGCTCGTCAAACCAGTGTACATGGGATGCCGGCGCATATGATGGTAAAAAATCGAGTCATGAAGAAATCACTGAGCAATGGCGAGCCTGTCCAAGCGGACGGCAGGTGTCTTACGCTATCAGAGCGACAGAGCTCAGGAACCCAAGTATGAACTACTTAACTGGAAGTTGCGCAGCCGATTGGGGCAAACACGGATACTGCACGCTTTTTTTAGCTAGATGACGTTTTCGTACACGTACGAGGGCTTTTTCTTGCTCACAACATTTTAGTAACATTTTTGGTTGAGTCTTCCATGCGCGCTGTCACCCCGTACTACATGAACTTTGATAATGCGCGTCTTGAGCGAGTTTTTGGCCCTATCCCTGTATATAAGTGTGTGTGAGGTGTGCATTTAGGTAAAAGTAAGTGAAAGCTCAGCGAATTGCGCACAAAACTGCAATTCTCCCAATAACACATGAGATTGTGAAGACAGTTAGGGTCTAAAAAGAAGTCCAGAGGGTTTGTTCATCCACGCGCTTGTTAGCTGTTGTAGGGAATATTGAAATCAATATCAGCTGATCTCTTTACTGTAAGAGTTCTTCCTAGATTTTCGGAGAAATCAAAATATCTTGCATTGAGATTTGAGCATTTTCATCACATACAGATGCTTGACATTTTCACGTCATTGTTCAAAGTTGCAGTTACTCACCATAGTACAAAAAGTTTGTCACTGGTGCCACTGAGACGGCACATTTGAAGAAGCCTTCTGGCGCTGCTTCGGGCGCTTTAAGTGCCACAAAACCACCGTATGACCAGCCGAAGATTGAGACTCGTTTCGCATCGAGAATTGGATGCTTTTTTATCACTGCTCTGAAGTTATTTACTATAAATTATTTGTTAATTGCCGATCAAATAAAGTAGAAACAATGGGGACGTTTCCTCCGATGGTCTTGCGAAGGATGCGTTTGTCTGCAGATTTTTTAGGTAAGGAGTTCTATAGCACAATTTGTCGCTTCGCGTCTTGGCATTCTTCAATAAGTCATTCACACAGCGATAAAGACACATTCCTCAATAAGCGGTTGTGTGAGAAAGTGGGCGGGACGAACAGCAATCGCGCCTCTCTCATTGGTGCGCCCCTGCTCTGTTACCATATTAGGAAAAGAAGAGGATCTATGAGGCAGTGCAGTAAAAAGGTCATGGGTCTCCACCCATCTGATTTTTACAAGATTTGCTTCCTGCCCTCCTTTTGGGTCATTCAGGAAAGAGTAAGTCAAGGGCAGGGATAGCCGAGTGGTTAAGAGTGTAGACTCATAATCTCACTCTGAGCCACGAGTTCGATCCCTGCCGAGGCACAAACCTGCCTTGCAAAAATTGCAAAAATGGGGACGATACCAGCGTCAGGCCCAGGTTGACAGGCCGGCTGATGGAGGAACCCGTCACAACAATCATGACAAGTCGCAAAAGTATCAGTGTTAAAGCTAGGACGTCACCCGGAAGTGGCGCGCAGCCCGAGTTCTGTGGTCAGTATGCGAGGGCTACCGAGGGGTGAACGACCTCGGCCAAAGAAGCTAGTTCGAATTGGGACCCTGAACGTGGGGTCGCTTACCGGGAAGTCTCGTGAGGTTGCCGACCTCATGAGACGCAGGAATATCCAAGTCCTATGCCTCAGGAAACGCGATGGAAGGGTGCGAAGGCCCGCGAGATTGGAGAAGGTGTCAAACTCTTCTACAATGGAGCAGACACCAAACGGAATGGCGTGGCCATAGCGGTGGCAGAATCCCTCAAGGACTGCGTCTCCTCTGCAGGATCAGTGATCGGATCATGGGAGTGAGAATGGACACGAAGGAGGGGTACTGGACAGTACTGACCGTGTACGCACCACAATCCGGTTGCTCTGAAGCCGGAAAAGGATGAGTTCTACCTGACCCTGGACGAGGCCATAAGATCGGTTCCGGAAGAGGACTATCTCACCATAGCTGGAGATCTGAATGGCCATGTTGGGAGGGACAGAAGGGGTCTAGAAAGGGTGCACGGAGGTCAAGGAATAGGGACAAAGAACGCTGAGGGAGAACGGATCCTTGACCTAGCCACAGCGCACGACTTAGCAATCTGCAGCACCTAACCTATAGCAGTGGAGGGAGACAAACGGAAATCGACCATGTCCTGGTCAGAAGATCGTCTCTCAAAACCGTCAAGGATATCAAGGTACTGCCTGGGGAAGAGCTGGGCCCTCAGCACAGGCCTCTCCTGGCAGACGTGGCCATAGACCTCGTGAGAGCGGAGCGGAGAATAGGTGGTGGAAAAATTAGAGCAGCGTCAGAAATAGGAAAGTCCGATGGATTCCGTAACCCGTTTTGGCAACTAAGCAGCTTGTGGCAAGCGTGGATCCAGGCGTGAAGGCCCGAATCACACGCAGCCTGGAATGAAACGGAAGGTAGGAGTCCGTGGCCATCGTGTCGCGACCTGACGTCCCGTGCTCGAGAACGCAAAAGGGGCCCCAGGTGTACCGGGTAGTGGTAAGGCCCACAATGCTCTGGGGCAGTGAGTGCTGGCCCATCTGCAAGAACCATGAGGCAGCTCCTAAGGATGCGACAGGAATGTCGTACAGCGTCGAAGTGGCCATTTGTGATAAAATGTAGATCGCTAGACGTGGTTTTGGACGCTGATCTTGAATCTGCCTTCAAAATTTGCAAAGCGATTCTCTGAACGGAGTTATGGAGCCGCGTTTACCACGCAACAGGTCATGGGATCGATCCCTGCTGATGCCTTAATTTTTGCTTGTTTGCGCAAAACGTGGCAAAAGTGATTTTTGCGTCCACTATACTTCACTTCAGTTTTCAACACCTGGGCTTGTCTGAAGAAAAGTTTGCCTCCATTTATTACTGCGCTTGGACTCCTTGTAGAAGCACTGTAGTGCACTGTAGTCTACAAGGAGTCCAAGCGCATGTAAATAAATGGAGGCAAACTTTTCTTCAGACAAGCTCAGGTGAGAACTGAAGTAGTAGTGACGGCAAAATCACTTTTTGCCACGTTTGCGCAACAAGCAAAAAAGTTAAGCTCAGCAGGGATCCGATCCCATGACCTGTTGCGTGGTAAACGCGGCTCCATAACTCCGTTCAAGAGATGCTTTGCAAATTTTGAAGGCAGATTCAAGATCAGCGTCCAAAACCGTCTAGTGATCTACATCTCATCACAAATGGCCACTTCGACCTGACGACCTCCCTTAGTGAGATGGGCCTGCGGCTGGACACGACTCGACAGAGTCAGAAACGAGGACGTCAGGGCGGTCACACAGACGGCCCCGATCCAGCTGAAGGCACGAGAGCAGCGACTGCGATGGTATGGGCACGTACTGAGGAGGCCTGAAGACCACCCAATAAGGAAGGCATTGGAATTCGAGGTAGAGGGCAAGCGACCACGAGGAGCCCCAAAGAAAAGATGGAGGGACGTCATCAAGAGGGACCTCACTGAAGTGAAAGCCACAGCAGAAGATGCAGTGGATCGGAACAAGTGGCGACGTCTAACAAGAACAGCGGACCCTGCGACGGCGCGGGACTAACGCTAGGGAGAAGAAGGAGGAAAGAGCAAGTCAACCGTAGCTATGTCGCATAGATTCCGAATCTGATCCTAGTCGTTTTTATGGTGCCGAGGACTCACCTTAAAGCTTCAATCTGATCCTCAACTTCAACCGTGCCCAGAGCACCATAGATCGCACTTCGGTATTTCCATCCTCTCGCTGCTGAGCCACGGCCGTCTATCTGAAATCATGATCGTGCTTTCTCACTGTTAGTAACATTAGCTAAAGACTGAATGCAGTACAGATTGTCAGAGCTGGAATCACTGGAACATGAGGAATGTAGAGACCAAGGACCAAACAAAGCCGTATTTCATTAGGAACCTAAGGCTCTATTGGTGCATTTAGTTCCACTATGGTAAAATTCAACCGTTAGCGGCACGGTGTATGGTGCAGATGACTCATATGTCACTTATTATATTATTAGGTTGTTCGAAAAGTCCTGCGACACTTTGATTGAATTGTTCTAGAAAAAGACCAAAAATCATTTTGGATGTTTTTATCCCTGATTAGTGGAGACTGTCCTCTGGGGTTTCTGCACATGGGTATATCATGACTTTGTGGAAGTTTTCAAAGCTTAAAAGTCCCTCAGAGATCGAGGTACTTTTCGACCTATCCCATATTATGAGTTCCTGTAGGGCAACTCCGCCGTAGTCGAGGAAGCTAACACTTACGTTGTCTTGA